AGTAACTTCAAAGTAACGCAGCCACCCTGATGACCACTATTGTTCTCACGCAGTGTGCCAAGGATGAGCAAGGCTAAAACAAGCAGCTAATAAAGAGGATGCTCTGCCTTCTTCCCATAATCACCTACTCACACCCAGTCCTGCAATTGAGTGAAGCCAGCAAGAGTGGCATGAGCTCTGGGCACTCCCTGCACATCTCCAGCCATGAGCAGAAGACAGGGGCGCATTTCCAGATGGGTCTCTGGGACCCTAAAACATTCACACCACCAGCGGGCTGGGGGGTGGCGAGCACCAGGGGCAGTGGTGTACATCCAACCTTTTAATTCACTAAATCAGAGTGCAAATGCCTCTTTAAAACAGACACCAGAGATAACTCAAGGAAGGTTACGGAAAGGATTTGGGAATATAGCCCTATATTTCTGTCTTTCAGGTCTTCTGACCTTGCAGTGTTAAAGAGGGAGGTAATGGGTGTTTTGCTTTTCCACAGGCTTCATCCTCTGGAAGAAATACACAGACTATGTACCACCAGCTTGTGGACCTCCTGCTCTCCCAGCCTGGTGCCCTGCTTACAGCAAGTCACTGGTGATTCAGAAAGCAGGCAGGAAACATACATGGTGCACCCCACCATCTGCTCCATAGGAGCGGGAGTGGAATAAGAGAGCTCTCTTTGATTTCAGCCGCCCTTCGTTAGTGCACCAGAGCATGTTACTTTATTATCCCTCTTAGTATGTAGAGGACTACTATCCAGAAAATTACCCTGCCCCTTTTTAAAGCCATTTGAAACTTCTTGGTTTTTTTCATCACCACCTAGGAAGATTGCAGAAAACACCATTCATGAACAAGGAGCAAGGAGCTGTTCCTCCCACATTCTCCTCAGGGAAACCTTCACATTGCTTCAGGTCATCTCAGCAAACCAGAGAGTAAGCCTGGCAAATGCCTCCTACAAGAGGTGCTCCAGAGCATGACCATAGGACCAGCATAGCTAGAAGGTTTTAAAATAAGGTATTCCTTCCGAGACTGTTTCCATGTCATTAACAACATAGGAAATCCTGAAAGATTAAGTTCTGTGTTCTGCTAAATGCAAACACACGCGAGCTGCACAGCCATAGCTGTTAACATCATGGTAATGATGCAGTCAGTGCCAGCAGACATGGAGCATGGCCGCTCCCGCACGAGTAATTCTGCTACCCTGCACACAAGGAGCCCACATACGTATAATTGCTGGTAAATCGAGCCCTTGTTGATAAAGTAGAAGCATGTAATTGTGCCCAGCCAGTTTATAATGTTGTCTTTCATGAGGCCAATATTCAGCAGAACGACAGTCTATGTAAAGCAACATTCATGGTACAGAGCTCCAGAGAAGACTAATCCTACCACCCAGTGCAGGCTGGAACCCATGGAGGCGCCTTCATACTACAGCAGTTTAAAATCCATGCAAAACCAGGCCCAAACCCAGAAGAACTGTGATTTCTTAGGCTACTGACTAGTTACAGACCAGCAGAAAATGTAAAAATTCACCTGCATTAGCCTTAAGCCATCAGTACTGACCAGCTCATTGACGACAAAAACTGCCGTGAATGAAGATGACAGAGTTGGGCCGCAGCCCCCACATACACGTGTTGCCTATTTATTTTTTTGTCATTAGTACTACAGTTTACAATCCTTAACTGTGCTGACATTAAACTTCCGTTTATTATGAGTGCAACGGTGATTATCACCCAGCCTCAAATAAATAACTAGCATGAGTCTCACGCCCTAGATAACTAATGAAGAACTGGTAAGTAATAAACTCCCAGTGTGATCCAGCTTTCACAGAAATCAGTATTAAGCATCTGTTCAGGTAACTTTGCCTAGGCACAGAATTCACAAGAACTCTCTCTGATGGGCTCAGCTTCCATATGCCACCTCCCTCTTTAAACCGCTCTGTAAACCAACTTGATTTCTGCCTGCCAACTGGACTTGGGAGAGATTCACACTTTTGGTATCTAACCCCATGCTGTCACGAGCACAATGCAGGCAGGCATCCTTGACAGACAAAAGCTTTTTCATTTTTCCAAACCTCTTTGTAATATTTTTTTCCACCACTACTCTGCACATCTGTTGGTTTTGAGTCCGGCAGTCCCTGACTTGCTGAATTTCCACATATATTCTGACTTGATGTATCTTTACCCTCAAGTGGACTGTCAAGCCAGATGCCAGATGCCCCCTTACTTCCTCAGTGCAAACTATCAGTAAACCTTAGCATAACTTTACTTTGAGCCTTAAACTAACAGCATGTGAAAAGATTAATATGAATAAATTCAAAACTAATCAGATCCCTTCTTTAAATGTTGACACAGTATTATTTATATCCCATAAATACCTTCTTGACTAAAATTCATCCCAGGAGATTGGCATCTTGCCAGTTCTATTCATATTTACTGTATTTATACAGTACAGTTGGCCAAGGATAATATTTAAGACAAAATATGCCTTAGGGCATATACAATATCTCTTATAGTTTTCCTTTTAAATCTCCTCATTGCTAAAAATATTTAGTCTGAACTTTACAAAATGCCCCACAAAGACCTATCAGCAATCTGTAGTGATATATTGCTGACTACGAGTATAATTAGAGCATATTTGTAATACTTGGGTTGTAGTCAGTTACTGAACGCTAACAACTTGTGGTAAAAACTGAACCACTGATCTTTCCCATGCCTTCCTTCCAGCAGCTTTTGACCTCCAGTGCGTTCACACTGATCCCCTTCTCCCTCCTGCCTCCCTCCAACGCAGCAGAAACTGTAGAGTTAAAAAAATTCACTCCAAGATGTCTAGGAGAAAGTGCCTGCAGCCGCCAGCGCTGCGCTTTCAATTTCTTCCTTTAAAATATGGTGGAGCGATTTCTTCCTTTCTGTCTTTTTTGGAAAGGTTCGCTCCATCCAGCATAACTAGAGAGCAGTGGAAAAACAGTTAACCTACTTACTCTGATGTTAGCGACAGCCCTTGCACAGTAGTACTGGATCTGCTGCTAACTGTCCCTCCGATCCCAAACGTCTGATGCACTCTGTTGGTAGGTACCTGCAATCTCCTTTGCTTTTCCAAAAGCTCTATCGATACTTCAGCACAAATCTGGCCTCTGACAACATTTTAAAAATAGATCCTCTTTCGTCAACACCATCCAAGTCACACACCACAGATATTTTAATTTTCTGGAAAGTACACGGCTGCATTTTGGACCACTGGTTCTTTGTAGTCTGCTCATGCGAGGAAACAGGACAGATGTGCTCAGGACGGATGCACTTTACAATTCTCAGAGCCTCTCTGTTACAGGGTCAATTCCACAAGCCAAGGCACAGCTATCAGTCTTCCTAACCTTCGCCCATAGGGGCTCACCCCTTTGCTCAGGGCACAACCTGATAGGTCTCAAAACAAAGTGCTGACTTCCACAAAAACCACCAGGAAAATCCTACAGCATACCAGTGTGGAAAACAGGCACGATTTCTGTGTTCTTGCTATGGCTATGAATTATGCTGAACCTCTTTGCTCATACCCACTTGGCTCCAAATATACATTAATTTTTTTTTTTTTAAAGTATTTCTTCCCTGAGGGTAATAAGGGCGGAGTGTATTTATCATGGCTATTATGGATGGTGCCATAATTACAATAATAAAACGGCTCTGACTGCCAGGATGTCCTGTACCTGATGCTGTCATTTAAGAATAAAGGAAGAAAGGGAGGCAGCTGCAGTGAGCGTGGGGTTCAGATGCTTTGGCTGGCATCCTAGGACTATCACATGCAAGACGGAGCAAGCCCCAAAGCTACAACTTGCTAAACTAAAAATAAATAAGGAGAAAATGCAATTAGAAACTCTAGGATAAAGTTACCAAGATGGCTGCATTATCTATTTAAGCAAGAGGTATGTGCTTTTCAAAAACAGACAGCAAGAATATAGGGCATCAAGTGGCAGGGGAAGGAAGAGAGAAAGAAAAGCAAGCTAAACGAAAGGAGTAGGGACTAGGGTTTGGATATGCAAACGGTGAAGTTATTTTCTGCTTCTGGTATTTCACTTTCCTCAGTATGATGATGATCTAGATTCTTTTAAGGGAGTGCAGTGCTTTTTCTTTTTTTTTTTCTATACACTTCAACTTCACTACCAACACAAAAAGACGTCGTTATGATTATTAATCATTCTAAGTGGATTTGGTCAGCACAGAGCATTCGTACCCTTTTTTTTTTTCTTTTTTTTTTTTTTTGTGCAAAACGTGGCGTGGATCACCAGAAGGTCATTAAAAACAGCAAAAGGCAGACGGGCTGAGACAGGTTCCAAGAACCGAGGCTACCCAGAAGGGAAAACTTTTCCTGTACCTGAAATGAAAGCGCCCATCAGCTGAAAGAGGAGGCTAGTTAAACTGGGAAGAGGAGGGAGCATGTCTCTGCCTCTGTCCCCTCTGAGGACCAACCTGAACTGAGGTCTGCGGGACAACGTTCTGGAGGGGCGCAGGCAGAAGAGGAGCCAGTGATTTTTTATTTTTTTGTAAAAGACCTCCTTTTCTTTTCAGTTACGGAGAGATGGAAACCTGCCCGATTCAGACACTCCAAGGGAAACAACAGCAGTGGAAAGATATTGGCTCTTTCTGGAGGCTGCACACGGGGGCTGCGGGGGAGCAGAACCCAGTGCTGGGGTGGGAGCGGGATCCTGGGTCGGGGGGAGCTTTGCTCAGGTACATGGTGGTGGAAAGCAGAGGCACCTTTAAGGACTCCTGGATGACTTCAAAGGGGATCGGAAACCTCACGAGTCTGGGGGGACAGCTGACCCCCCCCCAACCCACCCACCCACATGTACACCCTGCCATCTAAACGAAACCCTAGAAGCCACCACCTGAGAGATGTTAAGGGTAAGAGCAAAAACCAAGGAAAGGCGGCAGGTCGTGATGCACGGGGCTGGTGCTGAAGGTGCTGGGCACTGCCAAGCCTCGGGGGCGAAATTAAACACACATGCACAAACACAGAGGACTTACTTTCGGGGTAAAAAGGCTGCATGTCTATTTTGTAAACTTCTTTGGCATAGTACTCCTCGTCGCTCCTCTCCCTTTCACAAGTGGCGGCTCTGTGGTTGGCTTTCTCTTGCAGCAGGTCCCTGGTGCTGTTGTAGATGGAGATGACCTCCGGGGGCACCTCCTCGGGCTCGGGGTACTCATCCGGGGGGCTGGTGAGCTTCAGTTTGCTCAAGATCTGCCCCCGGATCGCCTCGATCCTCTTGCGCATGAACTGATCCATGTCGAGGGTGCTGCAGGTAGACAGGCTGAAAGCCACGGTGGCCAGATCCACGGTGAGAAACACGCTCAGGAGATAGCAGTGCATTTTAAAGTGTTTAAATACAGCGCCCCCCAAAAAAAGAGTGACTTTAACAACGAACAACAAGAAGGAAGAAAAAAAATTAAAAAATAAAAAGGGTATGTGTGCAAACAAAGGGAAGATCTGCAGACAAAATGCAGTTAAAAACCGGACTGCAAGGACGACTTGCAATCGAAAAACGCACGGGAGGAAAACGCCCGGGGGGGGTGAAGGAAAAAAAAAAACCAAAAAATAAAAAAAAAAAAAAAGGAAAAAAAAAAAAGGCAAGTTCCTACAACTAGATGAAATTCGGGGGTGGAGTAAGCCGGAGAGCAAAAAAAGGGGAGGAAAACCCCCCAAAACAGATAAACAAACCTGCGAATCAAGTCAATGGCAGACAGACCGTTCTCAGCGCGCCGGCGGAGCAGGCTGGAAAACCAGAAACTGAAGGGGGTGGGGGGGTGTAAAAGAAA